GAGGTGTGCTGTGATTGGCCAGCTATCCAGTGCGTTGTGATTGGCCGAATACCTCAAGCGTGTGACGGAAATGTTACGCCCCTTACCATATTGTGATGATGCCCTGTCCGGCCGGAGCGACGAGACAAAAACAATAGTACCCAATAGAAATAGTTCACAACGAAACACACAGCGCCTTCACGACATGGCGGCGGCGGCAACAACAATACTACAGCGAGAATAAAAGTTACGCCTTCTTTCTTTGCGTGAACATTTGGGCGGCATTATGCAAATCTTCCCACACAGTGACGTAGATATGTGGTGGCGTGTTAGAACGAGCCGTTTTAGGTAGGTGTGGCTGACTCTTAACTTTTATAAAGAATATCTCTTTGGATTTGAGACTTTAGTCTTTGCAACTTTACAGATCTTCTTTATGCACCAAGAGCTTGTAACACTCCAAAGAGAAAGGAAAAATTGAAATCGCATCATATGACCCCTTTAACATTCAGTTAAGTGCCCAAAATCATTACATTCAGCTCACACACTTTAAAAAAAATATGATCAGTAAGTCATGGCCATGTTTTTACATTACTTTAACTCATCAAAACTTATAATTCAACACTTTTTATGAGATTCAATTCAATTTTTTGAAGTTGAAATGACTCATACAACCAAGTCGAAGAATACTTAATTTAAGGCAGCAACTAAACTTAAGTTGAAATAGGTGAAACACGTTCAACACTGCACTTAAGTATATTCTTTCAAAGGATACTATTTCCATAATAACTACTCTTTTTAAAAGTATGTTAAAGTGTACTTTTTTCACCAAGGATTTCATTTAACTAGTAAGCTAAAAGCGTTAATAAATGTTTCAAAGTACTACATTGTTGTCACACAAATCATCTTCTAAATAAATTAAATAATTTTGCATTCATTCAATTTTGTTTAAAAATGTCTTATGTTTTGGTAGTCTGATCAAATGATGAGTCAAGACAGATGCTGTAATTAGGTTCAATTTTCTCCACAATGGAAATAAAAGGCCAAATCAAGCACACTGTATTGTGGTATACTGTACATCACACATAGTGCTTCTTATACACTACTACACTTTTTCAAAGGTAGCAGATCATCTGGATATTTCATGTTTGCATACTGTATGGCGGGAAGAGTATGTTAGTATGCTATTCAAAACACACAGAGTTGGAGTCCTAAACCTCGCATATTTAATAAAAAAAAAAACTTGACTTCCAGTGTTTTGTAATTTTTGTACTTTACAGAGCATCATAACTATCCTGCTGGAGAGTTTGTGCAGAGAGTTTCCTCCTCTGGTTCAGCCACAGTGCAATAAAATGGTTGAAAAATACGTCCAGCTGTTGGTTGACATGCTACTGAACAATACTTCATCTAACTTCATATGCACTCTGCTTCGTCTTTGTGAAATACGGGAGCATCCCGTCCACGGTTAGAGTCCAGACTTTGGCTTCTAGTTTTTTTTTTTCCTTTGAATTAACACTTCTGCTATAATTTTGTTTTGTCTCTGTGAACAAATTTACCTCCCATCCTGTTTCTTCATCCCTTTCTCTTTATTTAACAGTGGCTGAGGTGCTTTCTGATTGTGATTCCTGCCTTACATTGGCAGTTTTGACTCATATGCATCTGGGCTCCAATGCCACCGAGCTCCAGGCTGCTTCATTCCTGAACACCGTCTGCCAACTGCACCCCAGTGCCATGCCAAAGGTTAGACATCAGTCTGCTCCTTTAAATGACTGACTTTTAAATACACTTAATTTGTAAGTTTACTATAATTTCTTTATCTCATCTAGTGTGAGACTTTTGTGCAGCGTCATGGGAACCTGCTCAGTGTATTTCTGAGCAAACAGCAGGGGGCGCTGGACATTTGTAAGGTAGAAACTACTAGATTTTTACAGTTTCTTAAGAAATGTTAATGTGCGGTCACATTTACCATTGTTCAGTTTTACCTACAATTTTTGCAGGTGAAATCCACAATAGATACGTAAAAAAGGTCTGTTCTCCATTTTCAGTTGTGTAGCAGTTTATGAAGCACAGCTCAACCAGAAGCCACTTTCAAACCAAGCAGGTTTTCAGGCATTGTTGGTCAACTTGGTGAAGTTGCTTGACCAACTTGAATCCCATCCTTGTTGAAAAAAACAGCATATGCTGGTTAGGTATGTTTTGATGCTGGGATGCTGGTTTAAGCTGGTCCTTTGCTAGTTTATGCTGGTCCTTTGCTGGTTTAAACTGGTCCTTTGCTGGTTTAAGCTGGTCCTTT